GTGTTTCACGCACAAGCCCTTGCAAAATTTTTACCTCGGATAGTGCACGGGGATTTTTTTATAAGCGCTGCGAAATTTTAACGAAGGGTGGGTTCTGTCACACACGATACGTATCGGATGTAACGCACACATGGGGGAAAAAGCACGCACATCTCCGCTGCGGTCAACGATTTATATAAACGCCCTATATACGCGAAGTCACGTTCTACCGATAAAAAAAGAAAAGGTGATACCAGAAAAGTGTTATCGATCCGCGGATAGCTTGACGTCGCGTCACTTTATCTGGGTGGTTAAATTTAGTATTTATCTCAGCTCATATATACAGGGTGTCCCATCCTTACGATACGTTTATGGGAGATAACTCCTATAAGGTTATTTGGAGACGATTTTTCCTCAGCGAAAATGTCAAGGAAGGTCATCATTTTTTTAATGTTCTCAATTTTTGAAATCATGTATCCTTGTAACTAAACCTTGAATTAAAATTCTATTAAAGTAAACTTTTCCTGAAATTAACTCGAAAATATAGTCTTGTTAACAACTTATTTTCACAAAGCTTAGTTTACAAAAAAACTTTTATTTTCAATCGTTTATAATTCGAAATTTATTGGTGCCTGGACATTTTTGCTGAGGAAAAATCGTCTCCGAATCGCCTCAAGAATCTCTCATTAACGTGTGGTACAGTAAATCTGGGACATCTTCTGTGTGTATATATATATATATATATACACTATATATTTATACACACGTATAACGTTTGTGCGACTTTTTGCACCCTTTTTACACCCTTATATGCCTATTATATCTATATTTATAAACATGTATACATACAATCGGTGCATACGTATGTACGGACCGAATATATATTTATCCTATGTACGGATGCATTATGAACATTTGTCTATTTTTGTCGCACGGTGCAACCCGTATCGATCATTTTAATATCGCTGTAAATGTTCCCGTATATTTCACGATGCGCGACAGCGTCGGAAAATCTGGGGCGAGAAAAGAATCGCCGTCGACCTCGCGACAATAGATGCACATGTAGGTTGCACATATGCACATGTTCTTATACATATACATGTATATGTGTAAGAACGCTGAATGATAATATGCGCTTATGATTATTCAAATTGCGTATCTTCTATTTATTTCGGAGATTTATGCTTTTTTACGAGAAATATAAATTAACGGGATTCTAATCGCGCCGAAAATGCACACATTTGTGTCAACAATTTTTATTAAACAATATATTTTACTCGTTACATTGACGAGAATACATAAAATATGATTTAAGAAATTTAATTATGACATTATTAATTAAAGTATTAAATTAAAGTTTGAAAAAAATTTCTAATTAAACGTAATGCATTACAAAGCATGTAAAGGAACATTTGTTATGTCTTATATACACATTGCATATGTATAGGTATATAGTTGTTTTACCATCTAATTTAGATTTTATATATTAATATTCAAAATATAAAATAATTATTTTTTCTTTTATTTTAAAATAAAATTTTACCTCTAATCACTTTTTTTCGACGTCACAGGTGAATGTTTATAGTAACTACGAGAGCCTAAAGGAAGTCGGATCGAAAGTTTCAGGAGAAGGAGTTGATGTACTAAATAAGCTCAAACTGTCCCGCTAGTTCGCGAATCATAAACCACATCGCATCCTGGAAATTAATTGGAAAATAATCGGAGAGTTCCTTTTAAACGTCACTTGTTACTCTATATATCTAGTAGAATGAATGAGTAGTAATGCAGTGCATATTGGTCCTTCATTCTCATCTGATCCGTTTCTTTAATCGAATATCGAAACATCGAATCGTCTATACAGTAAGTGTACAGCCTCTTTGTGCAATTATATTAACGCAAATTATCGCACGAGGTCCTTAAACGAGGAATAAAACAACCCTTTATGAGCGGAATTTTTTCTGGGACCATATCAGGCTAATAAAATTTTTAAATTATTACTCACATTTTTTTAAAACCAGATGAAAAAACGCGATAAAATAATAAATAGAACAATGTTAATGTAACAACGTGCGATGTAATTTTTGATAAACATATTTCGTGGTAATATTTTTCGTGCCAAATAAAAAAAATTTGCAAACATTGTATATCATTTTTCATTTTCACGTATTATTTTGGACATGATTCGGGGCTTCGATAATTCTCTTCTGGCAAAGATACTTTATGACATCGGGATTTTATATTTGTCGTTAGCTATATGTTGTTATTAAATTTTGATATCGAAATTGTACAATAGTCGAGCGAATTCTCTTCCGATAAATCATTGGAAAAGCACAATGTTTACGTTATACTTTTCATTTCTTGCCTTGCAGCGATTTGATATAGCCATGTTAAGAATTGTATTTCTTCTATATGTAAATATTTTTTCTTCTTTAATTTTTTTCCAAGTTATACATTCAAGAAACTTCTTACGTTTCACAAGAAAATTGTTTATGCATTTGGCAGGAAGCTAATGATTGATATTTTAAGAGGATAACGGAAAATGATGAACGAAAATGTTGATATAATTAGATATACGAGAGTGAAGAGGATTTCTGAGACTTTTTTTAAGTGTATTTGCGATGCATTTAATTTGAAAAGCTCTTGTCGAGAGTATTCGTGATTGCGCATTTATTATAATCTTCGTAATTATAGTCCACTTTAATATATTATATACATGCAACACTGTGTACGTTCGATCGTTTGCCCTATCACATCTGGTTGCTCTGATGTAATAATTTATTGAAAGAACTGAGTAAATAAGAGGCGAGGCGAGTTTTTATAGATTTTTGCATATACTTTCAACGTGAAATTTTATCCTTCATGTTGAATCGAATTTTCATTGATTAGAAACTTGCCTAAATTGCTTAATAAGTTGTCTAACAAGTCATTTTCATATCATGATAAAAATGTAGTCGTCGTACATGTTTTTCTAATTAAAATTATACAAATAAAAAATATATAATTGTGCAAACGAAATATTTAAGAGAGAAATAACAAGACATTTTTATCTGCATTTTTTCTAATTAAAGAAGATAATAATTGTAAATCATAAAAATACATTTAAAAATGAGTAAGATAAAGTAAGGCAAAATGAGAATCTCTTTAGAAAGCTTCTTTTTCGTTAGATACAGTTTTACATTTATATCTAAATTTTTATTGTTGTTTTGTTTAAATGTGTGTCTTTATGTAATTATATATGTTTATATTTACTTCTTTTTATTAATATTTTTAAATTTAATTTTTCCAATTAATTGTTTTTTATTAAGGAGATCTATATTTATTTAATATTAAAAAATACAAATTGTTACTAATATTGTGTAATTTTAATATTATTCATAATATATTAAAATTATTATTTTTTAAAAAAATTGGTCATTTTAATAACTAGTTTTGTTATATATAATGTATTAAATTATTCATAAAAGGATTAACATCATAACAGGGAAGAAAGATTTCAGTTACATATATTCTAGAAATATCATGTAATTTTATAATGAAACAGTATATTTTATTCATATATTCTCTTCCAAATCAAATTTTTTGAGCCGTCAAGTTTCAATCATCCCATTTAAAATGCGTTGCATAACAGCAGTTGCTCATTAAAAAAATATAGCGCCATCGAAACGTAACGTGCCTTTGATACATAATTCCATTTTACTTTCACGACAAACTCGGTCAAACGCACGTGTTGACGGAAAAGACAGAATCGTGCTCCAGATGCGTAATGTGCAATTGCTTCGGCTGCAATTTTTGATAATGTTCTTATTTTTAACACGGGACGATTACACAATTCGCCGTGAAAAAATGCGAAAATTCTGATCATATCAAAGCAGCAAAAAACTACAAATTATAAATGCGATTTAGAACACGTGTCAATATAATCATAATTATGTAGTATCAGATTGTTTCTTCGAGACGCCATTCGTGCAGCTAAATATAGGTTTTTTGTTAATCACAAACGAATTACTCCATAATGAAATATGAGTCTTGTTTATGTATTGTGCGTCGTGTAATTTTGTAAAAGCATAGTGTATTGTATCTAACACTGGTATCTATTAGAAACTGATTGCTTTTTTTACATTTATTTTTACCAGTACCGTACAATAATGTGAAAATTTATACTGTTTGTCTCAATACTATATAAATAGTGAGTGATAGATGCATTGTCGCAGAAAATTTATTTTTTTTTGCATGTTATATTTATCTGGTATTTTCGACTTAATTGTCGTTTTATTGTTATTTGTGAAGAAATATATGAATATTGTTTATATGTATCTATTTGAAATAAGCATTATTATATTTGATTAATATTATTTTTCATTATAATTGTAGAAATTATAAACGAAAATCGTTGATTGTATTAGTATTTTTTTTAAATAAAAATGCAATTATATTTTACTTTTTCATTGCATTATAATAATTCTTATACATTTACTATAGAATGATAAATGTACAAATTATGTAATAAATATAATAATCATATATCTTGATATTATATATTTCCTTACTTTAAAATGTTGTATCAATTAAACTTTTAATAATATTATTAATAATATTATTAGTATTTGTAATATAGTATAATCTATAGGATATACACACAAGATTTCTATTACAAGATAGATAAATATATAGGTATAAGTAAATCTATGAGATTTTTTATAAAGTATTATAAAGCTATGATATATTGAAGTTTCTGTGAAAGAAGAATTTGAAAATAAAAAATTATCAATATTATAAATTAATAAGTAAAAATTAAATAATAAATAAAATAAAAATATGCTGATCTTTCTGAGAAGATTAAATAAAACTCACGAAGGAGAGAATACAGCAAATTGACTGCAAATTATGATTTATCACAGACGTGTATTTCGAAATAATGTGAATAATTTCGTTGTCAGAATAAGTATAATATTATTAAATATACGATAACAAATGCCGCATAAAATAAACAAACGTATTGCTGTGAACGGTTAATTTCAGCGATGACCAGCTTAATAACCGAAGACGAAGACAATAAAGATCGAAAGTTAACGGAGCCGGAAACAGAAGATGACAAGAAATCGATTCGAAATCAACTGGCGAAAGGGCACGTACCGGCGAAACAACCATTAATTTGGCAAAACATTATTGGTATCCCTATTCTCCATATCATTGCAATCTATTTATTTGTCACGCGGTGTCACGAGGCGAAACTTTACACCTGGATGTTTGGTACGTATTGATGAAATAAAAAATTAGTACTTCATATCTCATATAATTTTATCTGCGATAATATAGTACATATATCGAGTTTATACAATGTGCGTTGGAATTGATAGAGAAATATCGCAGTTTCTTGTGAAATCAATTTTTTCAAAGGCTTTCAAATTGCAACAAGTAAGCTTTGTGTTAAAATAAACTCCGCGCTCGTTTCCTTTCTCACGCAAACACGAAAATTCAATAGGGAATAAAATTATTTCCCGATTCAGCGGCTTCGCCCGGATATTTTTCTCGCCTGTGCTTTTTTAACGCGGGGACAGAAGAGTTTATTAAAATAAAATCTTGAATTGAGATTTATTGAATTACTTGGTATCGTACCAAAGAAAATTTGTGTCCTATGCACGACTAATCAGTGTCATTGAAAATCAGTTTTTTATTGAATCTGATACATACTAAATCATTCGCGTGTTCGACTCTTTTTAGCCCGATGAAATTTAAATATACCACATTGAAAGTTTTACTAAAGTTTTAGAAAAAATTAGATATTTTTTATTTTCGTTTATTTAATAAGAAATTTAACACGCATAATTTTTCAGTCTTTACATTGCAATTGGCTAATTCAGAATTAACATTTACATTTTGCTTGAAATAATGAAGAATAAAAAGTATGACGCTTTCTTATTTCATTACAGCGCCATAGCTAATTGAAATTTAATATCGTACATTTTGCTTAAAATGATAAAAATTCAACATTTAATGTTGCGTTTTTATTTCATTTCTCGTATTCAGGATTCGTATATGGAGTTCTTGGTGGTTTAGGTGTAACGGCAGGCGCTCATCGTTTTTGGGCACATAGGAGTTATAGTGCCAAACTGCCACTCAAAATTATGCTTGCTTGTTTTTACTGCATGGCCGGACAGGTAAGAAAAGTGAATTCCCGATGTAAAATTATCCGATCAATTAATAATCAGGTTAAAATTCGTCACATTAAAATTAAACAGTCATATTTAAATGGAACTGCATATGTAGCAAATTGCTACTCTGAGAATACATTAATTTTTTTTACAGCAAATATTTGAAGTAGAGTATATAATGTGCAGTTTTAAATTAAATTTATGCATGCAGACTTTGCGACCTTTTCGTATTTCTCGCTTGTGGTGTTTATCGTGATATTAATTATAGAAGCGATTATTTACTAACGCTCAGTTAGTCAGTATCGATTAGTTTAAATATTTACAGCGATAATAATTAATATTAATTGAAGATGGACATAATACTTTGAACGTTTAAATACTGTTGTCTACATATGTATATATATATATATATATATATATATTTATTTATTTAACATAATAAATTTTACACACTTTAAATCTCTGTAGTTAATTTAGATTATGTAACTATTTATTTGCAGTATATTCTCCGATTCCAAAATATTTTTACTGTAACATACTATAATAAATATAATAAATTGAATATACATATTCTGTGGATGTAATATTAAATAAACCTAGCGATGAATATAATGCAGAGTATATAATTAGTTTTGGAAAATCTACAAAATTAATAAATTGCATTTTTAAAAAATTATACAGATTATTTCATATTTTCTAGACTCATTTGACTAAATGGATTCGAGTTCACCGAACGCATCATAAATACACGGATACACCCGCGGATCCTCATAACGCTAGTCGCGGCTTCTTTTTCTCGCATGTTGGCTGGTTAATGATGAAGCACCATCCGGCGGTGAAAGAATATGGGAAAAGTGTGAATCTGAGTGATATCGCTGCCGATCCTGTCATCCGTTTCTTCGACAAGTGAGTGAGCATATTTTAAACATAGTACTTTTCCGAATTGCGAGAAAAATTAGAGACAACATATAGAAATTAAATTTCATTGATCCACAATATATCAAATAATTTCAATTTTGTCAATTGTCATGTTAAATCTAATTTTACAAAGCTACCAATGATATTTACTCATCCTTTTTCTATTATTTATTCTCTATATTACTTAATTATTTCTTTAAGTATGTACATACTATTTTTTGAAAAACAGAAAACAAGATTTCTTATGTATATAAAATTATTTGGCATTTTTTTAAAAGAATGTGTTGACAAATATTATAATAGAAGAAGTTTTATTTTTTTATAATATTTTTGTACAAACACTTTAATTATAATATTAAGGAATCTCTTTCTCTCTCCTTTTCTATCTCTGCATTTATCTGACCATTCAATGTGAAAGTGAAAAGAAGATATCAAAAATGATTAAATAGAAGGAATATTATGCATATTAAAAAGCATGAAAAAGCCAATTATGATTTTTGCAGAAAATTTGCAAGGAAAAAGAATTGCGACCATTGCTAGAATTTAATTGCTTGCATGATAGTTTAATAATGAAGAACGGTCCGTGCGATGCGTTAGTGATGCTAGAAATGTGACAGAGATTAAATGGAATTAATCGTGCGAGAGATATCTCATCACAGAGGACAGAATTGAGCACATGTCTCGTAATTTTATTTGATTTATATCGGCCGCATCGTTGATTTATGATCGTAGAAGAAGATATTCGACTACATTAATCAATAATAAATATTGAACAAATGCAAATGTTTTGTATTGCAGATATTATCCACCGATTATGATGTTGCTAACCTATGTCGTGCCAAGTTTGATACCCGTGTATTTATGGAATGAAACCTGGATAGTAGCCATAGGCAGTTCTCTTCTTCGCCATCTGATTATGTTGAATGCAGCTTTTGCCGTGAATAGTTTTGCTCATTTATGGGGTTCTCGACCGTATAGCAGGTATACATCATTCTCTCGGATTCATATTTGCGCGATCGTAATTAAACTCAACAACCATATCATTCGAATTGTGTTCAAGTATAGATAGAAACATCATTTCTTTCGTAGAAGATTATAAACGTTTTTTTTCGATAAGACATTTTAGTGGAAAATAATTCAACTCTATTCCATTACGCGTGTTTAGTTTTTTTTTAATTAAAATTTTGATTCAACATTATTTTTTTTTTTACAATAACTTTTTATATTAAATATTCAAGAAATTAAATCTTTTGACATTCTTTCAGAGTAGTTTATTTAAAATTTTGTTAAAGTAAAATTTATTTTAAAATGTTTAAACAAAATGAATTTATTGTTAATTAGCAATTTCAAATATTGTTTTGCTATATAATTATCAATACGAATACTGTATATCAATGCTGTAACATATTTTTTGTAAAGAGAAAGTTATTTCAGAATTACATTTAAAGAAAAGTCAAGTTGATTTTTCATATTCTATATACGAAAAATATATGCAGAGAATTTTGAATTAAAAGTGCGTAATTTGTTTTACTTTAACATACTTTATTTTTTCTGGTCAAAAGTAAACTAATATTGCGTGCAAATATTATTATTTTTTCAGACTTTAATATTAATTTTCAGCTTGAATTTTTTACCTCCAATGTGGTAAACAATAATAAACTGAGCTTAATTTTTTCCAAGAACATTTTTTCGCAATTATAATAAAAACGCAGTAAGAGATAACAAATTTATTCCTCTGATTTAATAAAGCTATATGAATCAGATTTTTTTAACACATAAAATTGTATAATTTTTAGTAAAAACTGAAACATATATTTACGAAATTCTGCGATTTATTTGACATAAATTGCATTTTAATTATGTACGTATGTTTTACGAGACATGTCAATCAGTATTCGTTTTGTGTTATCAAAGAAAAATTGATATTATAAGAGAAGTAAGACATTTTTATGAAAATTTTCTTAGATTCTTTTAATATATAAATTATACATGCCAATCATTGAAAAGATAAATTTGCTAAAACAATTTTATACAGAGGATACATTATAAAAGAGACAGAATGTATCGTTCCGCTTAAATAATCTGTTGCATAAAACTTCAAAGTTTATTTGTGAACAGCCGACGCAGATCGAGCGGCGAAATATTTTCTTCTTTTTTTACTTTTTGTTTTAGAAATATTAAGGCAGCGGAGAATCCAACGGTGTCTTTTGTTGCTCTTGGTGAGGGTTGGCACAATTACCATCATTGCTTTCCATGGGACTATAAGGCTGCGGAACTAGGTTCATATGGTCTGAATCTGACGACTGGCTTTATAGATTTTATGGCCTGGCTAGGGTTGGCATACGATTTGAAGACTTCAAGTTCCGAGATGATCGACAGATTTTGTACAAAAAGAGGTGATGGATCTCTGGAGGACAAACGCAAATTAAATATTTCTGAAATGTCCTATTAAAAATTTCTATTAAAAAAAAAAAATAAAAAAATTGAGATTTATCAAAACTTTGTACCTTGTGCACAACTAATCATATTTTTAATAAAAACTATTTTTTTTTAATTGACGCACTGTCATTCACATCTGGCTCATTCTCGTCCAATGAAAAATATTTGTTTCACATTAATGAGATCCCCGCCGAGTGTCTATATTATCAACAAAGTTACCATCTCCGTAGTTCCAGTTATATGTCCCATTAACTGGACAGAATTAAAAATCCTTTTCTACGGTTGCAATTTATATATCAATGATCCTAGGGAATTCCGAATTTATAATAAAAAATGAGAAATAATTCGAAAAAACGAGCTGTCAACTCATCGCATAATATGTGTTTTATAGCAAACATTTTGTATGAATAAGAAAGCACTTTCCCTGGGATTGACGTACACGAAAAAAAGCATTGTTACCTTCTAAATCTGGATTAGAAGTCTAATATAAAGTATTACTTGGATTACGATTCGTACGTATATGTGGGTGCGTTGTGTATACGTGCATATATGTATAGTGTGGATATGTGTTGTGTTAATCTGTCGGAGTTCGATCGTCCCCGTCTGGCATCTCCTTGAGAGCTTGATTAAAGTCTTAGTTATAAGTGAACAAAATGTGAGTACATTGTTTTTCATTTTTTCACGCATTAATTCGAATATGATATGTCATAATTCTGTTCTGATAAAGATACTTTATAAGATCGGGATTATAGATTTGTCTTCATGTATGTGCTATTATTAAATTTTGATACCGAAACTATGTACAATCGAATTTGGTCAAAATAAAACATTGTAAAGCGCAGTATCAACAATCCTTTCCATTTCTTGGCTTCCAGCGTTTTGATATATAGCCAAGAATTGTATCTCTCTGATATATAAACCAGGTTCTCTCTTTCTATAATTTTGTATTGTCTATGATTTCTCATATTTTTGTTAAGCATTTTGCATTCTTTATTCAATTAACTTGAAGAAAACTCTTGTCACATTCACGTCGTAAATGACTGCACATTTATCGTACTATGTTATTATAGTACTCCACGTTTAATATCTATACTACGGTACCTTTAGTGGAATGTAATACGGGTGTAATATGTTACCAAAAGAACAGCGAACGAATAATCGTGAAGAGCGTGTTGTCACAAGTTTTTGCACCTACTTTCACTGTGCATTTCAAGTTCTCATCGATTAGAAATTGTCTAACTGCATAATAAATTACCTTCATCTTGAAACATAAAAGTATATCCATTGTACACGTTTTTTTAACCGAATAATTAATTATTCGATTAAAAATGCGACTGTTATCGAGATTTTTATCTGAATTACTTTTAATAAAAGGAAATAATAATTGTAATAACTAAAAACTAATAATTGTAAATTCTACAAATACATTTGAAAAAATGTATAAATTATAAATTTTTTAATTATTAATTTTAAATTTATTTATAATAAGATATCTCTTTGTTCTAAACTAGATACTTTATCTTTCTGTTCTCTGTTCCTTTTTTTAAAGAAAGTTTTTTTTCGTTACTTATATTAAGTTTTATATTGTTTTCTCTAAATTTTTCTAAATGTATAGTATCTTTATTTAATTAAAGTACGTATTTTTATTTTTTATTGCACCTTTAAATTTAATGTGTTTTCAATTTTTACTTTATATTTTTATTTTCATAAGAAAACTATATTTATTTAAAATAAAAAATGGAATTGTTATATGTTGTATAATTTTAACATTATGCATAATATAATAAGATTATTAATTTTTTAAAAAATTAATTATAGTAACATTCTGCAAGCGCTGAGATGCGGCAAAGGAAAACATTAAATGTACACGCGATTTGGCAAACTCATTTCGCTTGTTTATCGTATAACTAAATAAAAGTCTAGTATATACTCATCTAAAGCAAATGTTAATTATTTTATATATATCACGCTGCTCCTCGCGACATGCACCCAGCACCTCGGTTTGTTAATCACAAGTAAGATCGCATCATAAATGGAACAGATACGAATCATGTAATTTGGTCAATAATACAGTAATATGCAAAACATAGATCATAAACATTAATATTATTTTGATGACAATTTATATTCCTTAATTCTTTAATGTTAAAGTCTTTAATCTACTTTATAATGAAACAATTATGCCATAATAATTATATCTTGATATATTTCATTACTCCAAAAATTTTATATTAATTTTTTTATAAATTTTTTAAATAAAAACGTAATTAATATTCAAAATATTATTAATAATATTATTGAGGTATTTATAATATAGTATATATGTATACATATAATTATGGAATATAAAGAATGTGTAATATAAAATAAATGTATAAATAAAGCTATAACTTTTATAGCGCTATTATATAACTAGAGATATCGTACATTGAAATTTACTTCTAGTATACTACAATTCACTAATATATATATAAATTATACATGCCAATCATTGAAAAGATAAATTTGTTAAAACAATTTTATACAGAGAATACATATTATAAAAGAGATAGAATGTGTCGTTCCGCTTAAATAATCTGTTGCATAGTAGAGAGAATATGTTCTATATATTGCTTGAATTGTCACAGTGCAAATAATTTTTGGTATGATATTTTATGATTACCATATGTTTATACAAAACGATTTTGGTGGAGGTTTAATTACTAAAAGATATAAAAGTATTTTATTTTTTTATGATAAAAAAACAATGCAATAAAATAAAAATAATATTAGGTTAATGTTAGGCACTGTTGGCATTTAAAAATGCCTACTATTAACTACAAATGCACCGGATGGTTAATAACTTTTGTCGTATTTCACACGCAAGTTTTCGCAAAATTTTCACCCCGAATAGCATAGATTTTGAGCACAGAAAAAATGTAACGAAGGCTCTGTCACGCACGATACGTATCGGATGTACCACACGGAAAAAAATACGCATCTCCATGCGACTGTGCGGTCAATGATTTATCTAAACACTCTACATACACAAAGTCACGTTCTGCTAAAAAGAAAAGAAAGGGAGATACCAGAAAAGTGTTTGTCGATCCAGCTAGAGCTTGATGTCATTTTATCCGACGATTAAATTTAGTATTCATCATCAACATACATACATACATATGTATTCTGTGCAGAGAGAGTCTATATGTAGCCTTTTACACCCTATATGTCTATATATGTATTCATACAACCAGTGCATGTAAGAGCCGAATGTATATTTATCTTCTATGCGGATATGCATTATAAAGATTTGTCTATTTTTGTCATAGTGCAACTCGTATCGATCATTCTAATATCGCTGTAAATGTTCTCATATATCACGATTCAAGACAGCGTCGGAAATCTGGAACGAGAAAAGGAAAGCTATCATCTCGCGACAATGGCTGCATATGTGGGTTGCACGTCTGAGAAAGGAATTGTACGATTAATGATAACGTGCGTTCATGAGTCTTTAATTTTCACGTTCTATTTATTAGTGCATTTGCAAAAAATATTTATGTTAACAATTTATTACACAATATATTTGATATATATATATATATATATATATATATATATATATATAGAGAGAGAGAGAGAGAGAGAGAGCATGTAAAATATGATTTGACAAAACTTGTGATTTTTATTAACTTTTTTTACTAACTTTTTTTAGATTGAAATAAAGTATAAAGTATTTCCAAGTTATTCTAAAGCATAGCATAGAAAGTATATAAAAGAACATACTCTCCATGATATTTTATTTATACATATTTTTCGATTTTTTACACGATATATTTAAAATCGAAAAGATACTTGGATACGTAAATCGTTTTTTTACTTTAAACAAAAATTTATAAAAATAATAATATTTTATTTAAATTGCCTCGTTATGAATCGTACGAAGTAGGCTATTGTTTTATATCATTTCTTGTTAGATATAATATATTGACACACGTAATTGATAGGATATACATATATCATGTCCAAAATGCATCCATAAAACATCTTTAAGATGCTTTTAAGATGTATTTGAGAAATCATAAGACTTCTTAAAGACGTGTAAAAGATTTATTAATGATGTCTAATTGCTACATTTCATCTAATTGGTACATGGTGCTGTCTGGAATATATCTTCAATAGAAATTATGATAATATTAGAATGTTTATCGAAACTGAGAGAATAATTGAGAACAATTTGAAAGTTTAGCGAAAGGTGCTGATGCATCATGATCTGCAATTAAAAAACTGCTCTACAAATCAAAATCAATACTGTTTCTCCTGAATTTTACACCTTTTTATAAGTTCCATATACATGAGCATTAATAAATTTACCTTATAAAGACAGTGCTCTCGTATTATTGTTCAGTTAAATGAATACAAAATAGTGCAGTGCATATCGGTTTTTATTTTCATCTAGTTCGATTTTTTTAACATTTCGAGACGCGCATTTGTATACATCAAATCGTTCATTGTAAGTTGTATAGCTTCTTTTTTTATAATTACATTAATATAAATTGTCAAACGAGGCGACAAGGGTCCTTATCAGCGGAAAACAGAACAGTGCTTTAGCCGCGGGATAATTTTTGGCGGCTATTTTATGCTAATTAAATTATTAAATTATGTATGACGCATGTTTTGCAAAACCAGACGCGACGAAATTATACAAAGTTGATGAGATGTAATTTTTTGTACAATTTTTTTCGAGCCAAATAAAAGAAGCACTCCCTTAATGGTGACAAAACAAGAAAGGGATTCATTAAAAATAAAATATCGAATTGAAAATTTAAGGATGACAGAAAGAGTAATTTATTAAAAATAAAATTTCGAATTGAGATTAATTAAAACTTTGTATCTTGTGCACAACTAATCATATTTTC